CAAAAAGAATTTGTGTCGTTTCACAAAAGAAAGCTAGTAGAAGAAGGCAAGGTGGAGAATAAAATGTCCTTAAGTTGGAGAGAGGACAAGGCTAATTATTTCATTGTATTGAATGACAGAGGTTTGGGTATCATTCTGGCCTAGCGAGGAGGAACGACATGGCTCAACTTAAGATTTTGTACATTTATTCCACACAGTGCAGAATATTCATCATCTTTATTGAATAATTATTACACATTTGTAAATAAAATCCAATGAGTCCTCTACGTTTACAAGGTTAATTAACTCTCACACTAATCGTGCATATTAAATACCAGCTTTATCCTCCTCTTGCATAAGACGAAACAGAGTTACAGAGAAAGAGATATGCCCACGGCCACACCGCTGTGAATGAAAGAGCCAGGGTTTGAACAATCTGGTTCTAAAACTCTGACTCTTAAGGCACATGCAATAATTCCTCTTGGCTTAGAAAGTCAGGGAATAGGAGACAGATAAAGAGAGAAAAAATCTGCGGATGGACTTTGAAGGTGGCTGCAGGATGGCGGAGGACAATGTGTCACCTTTCCGACTCTGTTTTGGGTTCCACAGATACCAGGAAAATCTGGCTGGATCTCAGTCCCCTCATCATTGGAACTGGAGCCCGTTCAAACTTGGCAGCCCAGGTAGGAAGGGAGTTTCTAGTTATTTCGCTTACAACCGCCAATGGCAAGGGTTTGTTTTGAAAGTCTGTGAGAGTTGTACTTGATTCATATAAACCCTGTGATACAGCAGCCTTGCGAGGCAGCAGGGGCTGGGTTACTGTGCACACTTTACAGAGCACACAGCTCATGGGGGGGTGTCATTTGCTCACGTCAACCCTGACCTCCATTGGAAGAGGGTCCCCCGTGTTCCAGGCGGAGCCTGGCATCTCCATGGTGTCTACACCCGCTGCCTGTCTGTTCCTCCCCTCTGCTGTCTTGCCTGCTAATGCCCGTTGGAGAATCGCTTGGAGAGGTTCCTTCAGTCTTTTCTCCCTGAGTCTCCCCACAAAGAAATAAATGATAGGGTTGGCGCTGCAGTTCACAGTTAAGAACACGGAGGTCAAGAAGGAGGCAATGGCCATGCCTTTGAAATCTGACATGAGAAACAACACACTCATGGGCAGGCCCCAGAGGAGGAACATGATGACCACGACCTGGATCACGGTGTAGACCTTGGTGGCCTGTCGCTGCTGGGAGCAGCACAGGATTCTAATGAGCAGGGTCGGGCTGGAAGGCACATATCACAAAGAAGACGACACTGTGACAAACACCCAAAGCCTTTTGAAATATGACACATGCCTTCCTGTTTCTAGAGTAAGTTAGAAAAAGTGAATTCATTATGTTTAAACAAAGAGACAGGACCCAGATGAGGGTGCAGACCACAGTAGACATGTGCTTGGGGCGGCGGCATCTGTACCAGATGGGGAAGAGGACACACATGCACCGCTCTGTGCTGATGGCCACCAGGAGACACAGACACACCGTGAAGGAGAAGGGGGACACGAAGTCCAGGAAGTCAGGGGTGGAAAACAAGACTCCGTGATGGGAGAGCATGGTCATTGGCAGGAACTCCACTGTCACCCAGGAGAGGAAGAACAGGTCGGCGGTGGCCAGGTGGCAGATGTACACCAGGTAGGGGCTCTTCTTGACACCGCAGCAGAGCAGCCAAAGGAGGGCACCGTTCAGGAGCACCCCGCAGAGGGAGACCAGCACGGCCGCGGGGGCGACGATCTCCAGGAGCGGGGTCTCCTCTCCACCCGTAATGTCCCTCAGGACCTTGATGACTTGGTCTGTCTCGTTTTGAAGAGACAGTCTGCAGAGCCGTGACGACAGGACCGGGTTCCTGGTCTCCTGGTCACCACTGCGGAAGCAAAGGCTGCGTGAGAGCTGGGAAGCAGAGAACACCATCCACCCAACCTGCTGGCTGCAGCCGGTGAGCCTTCCCTGAGACCACAGGGTGCTGGGGACACTAGTGTCCACGCAGAGGAGTCCCTGAGCTTCAGACCCCCTCTCCTCCTCTCCAGGAAAAACTGGACATTAACTACATCTCAGAGTGGACAGGGGCATCCGCTGTGCAGACAGCTCCCGAGGGCGGCGTCATCTTCCATTCGCCCCCACCCTCCTCCTGTTGTAGACGGTACCCCAGGCCTGGCCACACACCCCAGATGTGTTGTCGTAGGGGAAATGTTGGAGCACAAAGCATGGGGTTAGAGCCCTGTTTCTGGTCCAGACTCCAATCTGTCTCTTTCAGACACATACCTGTGGCATCCCAGACCAGCCGCAGAAGGCATCCCAGACCAGCCGCAGAAGACGCTGTGGCCCAGCGGCGTGGGCCTGCTGCTGGCGCGGACACGTACCTCTCCCCCGTGCTGGCGGCTGAGCAGGAGCAGGACAGCGTTGGCATGTCCAGAGCAGGCACTTCTCAACAGCTGACATCGACAAAGTCCCTTCTAGGGCTTGCAGAACTTGACCTGGAAAATAAAGAGATCTGCTTTTCTCTAGGTGCAGGGAGTTGGGTAACACATGAATGTATTTCAAAAAGGTCATGGAAAAATAGAAGTAAAAGGTAACGC